ACGGAAAAATATTTTAGTAATACTAAATCGGATTCGTAAATCAACCTGAATTTTTCGAAAACCAAGCGAAAAACTCAAAAACAAAGCAAAACCGGTCAAATCTCTGAATTGAGCCAAATTGATTCGAATTGAACCGGAATGGCCAGAAAATTCTAGAAAACCATTTTCTTTTTTAAAAATCATCATTCAATACGAGAGGCGTGGACTGGTCAATTTTTTAAAATAACAATGCATAAAAGCATACAACACAAGAATGAACAAAAATTTTTAATTTTATTAAGAAAAAAAAATATACAAGTACAAAATAAATTTTTGTGAGTGAAACAGGCCAGAAGCCAGGTTGGATAACGTCTATTGAGCCGCTTCTTCCTTTTGGACAAGGGCTTCATCCTTCCACTTATTGGCCAAGATTAAAGATGCTAATGGTTTCAGGTTGTTGTGTTCAGCGACCACTCAGTTCATTATACTAATAATCTCTCCCGCTAAGACCTCATCTTTCTTCGATTCGGCCAATTTAGCTTCTAGGTCTAGGATCTGCATGCGGTCAGCTTTCTTTTCACTTTATTCATGCCTTCACGGAAGATGCTTTATACATGGCATCCAGTTCTTCACTTACCTCAAAGTGATACTCAAGAAGCCATAAGGTAACTAAAGGGCAATTCATCTATCCGAGATAAAGTTGGCATTCAAATGGTGATGGGTGTTCAAGCAAGAAAATTTAGCATTGAAAGTATAAACGATGATGCGACAAGAACCTTGCAATGCCCAATTCTTGATAGTTTGCCCACCATCGGACTTAAAGGAGAAAGGTTGGCTCTGATACCAATTGTAATATTCCAGTTTATCGTAAGATATTATCTTGGGAACATTGACAGATCATTTTTTCATAGTTTTGTTTCGATTCGAGTAAAGCCTTACTGCTCTTTTAAAAGACATTTTGCTAGTCTAAAACATCTAAACTTAAGTACATAACACTTAGGTACATAACTTCTCACTTGTACGTATCAGATGAGATTTGCCTAAAGCTTAACTTAAGTGCAGTTGGGACGTTAAGTAAATAATTATTCTCTAAGAATGAAATGTTTTTGGTTAAGTTAATTGTTCAGTTATATTAGATTTTTGCATGTTTGAGTTTTTATGTTTACATCTGATGTGGGAGAAATTACGTGAGGAATGAGGAATTTACTGATTTTTGTTGATTTTTCATGGAGGTTTTATTAAAATATTACCAATTAATTTAGAAAAGACAACCACCAAAATAGGCTACTACAATAAGTTAAATACTTGGCAAGCTTTAAGCCCAAAAATGGATGTCTCAAGCTCACATGGTGTGTAAATACCTAGAACATTCTAGAATACTTTCACCCACAAGATATTTTAATAAAATATCCCACCTACTCTAGAATGCTCCATGTAATCTCCACCATACATTTTTGTAAGTAAATCATAACCATACATTGAGGATGTGGAAATGCCTATAAATATCACCCATCACCTTATTTGGAAGAATGAAGCAAAAACCAAGCCCAAGAAGCAAGTAAAGCCCAAGAAGCAAGTAAGAATTTCTCCTTAAGCTTTGTGAAAATTTGCTTCTTAATTAAACCAGTGATATTAATACAATATTATTTGGTGTTTTGTGTTAATATTATTTTGATTGTCTTTCCCGTTATTATTTTTAGTGTTATAAATTATTAATCAATCTTGAAGTTTATCACTATATCCAATAGGTTTTGTTATTCTTTTTGCTATTAACTGAGGAAGGAGGAATTTCCAACTGCACGTTAAATTTTGAGCTTCCAATGCGTACCAATTATTCTATTGCAGCCTAAACTGGCATTGGATTAAAACTAAAATTTATTCTTAAACTGTTGGCCAATTCTCAATATGCCCCAAAACCATTTTTTCTTTTACCAAATTAACATAAAACATTTATTTTAGCGCCAATTTAGCTCAATGTATGACAATTAACACCAAGATGTAAAATAAAATTTAGAACATTTCAAAAATTAAAAAAAAAACATATGAAAAACAAAAACTTAAATTAAAAAATTGTATAAACTCGTAGAAAACGTCAAAATTTTAAGATTTTTCGTTTGACCAAATAATAATAATAATAATAACAATATAATTATGGAAAATTATATTATATAAATACTAAAACGCAAATCATATTCACCGTTCATGGAACAACATAATACCATTTAAACCGTGTTCTTTTTATAATATTTCTATTTCACCCTTATAGGGACTTCGTTGCTGTTGTGCTGACTCAAGCCGCCACATGCCAAATAGACCAACTATTATAGTTATTAGCAATTAAATACATAATTAAATACATAGATCGTTCATCTGAACTTTGACAAATTAACTCTACGACATCCCTAATTTTATAAGAGACTAATTATGCATCTCAATTAAAATTTTTTTCACCAATTAAGTACTTTTCTACGCTGGAAGCTGAGAAGGTGGTTACAATCGCTCAATGGGACGTGACGGAAATATAATTGTGTCAATGTGGAAAAATAAAGTTGACCTGCACAAAACGGTTATGTTTATCTCTTCTTCTTCAACATGTTAAATTCAGTCTTTTTCCGCTTCTCGTTCTATATCTCATCCCTTTCCTCCATAAGCTTTAGTCTCATGTGTCGACCTCTGGTGAAATCACCACTGTCGATTATGCTGAAGGAAAATTAATATCTGTCTCTCATGAAGCTCGGTTTTTATCCATGAGGTCCTTCGGCAACCGAGCGATTTTTCAGGCATCATTTTTGTTCGTCGTTGCTTGCATTTTAGGGGTTGTAGAGGTGAGTCTATTGATTGGATTTGCTTTTCTTAGTGTAATAGCGGGTAAGCGTTGGAGTCAGTGCGTTATTGGGTTTTTTAGAAGTTGAACGGGATTTTGCACTGGAAATCAAGTGATTTGGTGCTTGGATTAATCACAGAGATCATTCTGGGAGCTATAATCCTTTTTTATTTGAATGTTGAATAACTATAATCCTATTTGAATGAAGTCTACTTTTTTATTTGAATGTTAAACTACTGCAATCCTTTTCTCTTGTCTTTATCTTCCCTCTTATCACTTAAATCACATGATATCTTTTCTTTCTTTTTTTTTCTCTATTTTCTTTCAAATCTCTTAAATCCCATAATTTCATTTCAATGACTATGCTTTTGAAATTTTTAAATAATTTCAATTTGAGAAATTTTTTGTGAAATAATTACAATTTTGAAAAAAAAAAATGAATTTTTGATACAACTTCAACACAACTAAAAACATAGAAAGCAAAAAAGGGTAAGAACAGAGGAGTATTTTAGACGGTAAAAAGTGCTTACCAAGAATGTGATTATCCTAATTTTCTTTTACATAATTACAAAACAAAATAGGATAATCTAGAATTAAAATTAAAAAAATTAACTAACCTAGGATAACGAATAGATTATAAAGATCCCTCGTCATCTATCATTTTTCCACTCGTAAAAGACCAACAAATCATGGAGACTTAATCATCCTTTTTTTCTTTCCCATTTTCTTATGGCCACAATAATATATTAATCTACTTGCTTTAATATTAAAAAAATAAAAAAACTGAAACTCTGTTCGTAAGAAATTAATAATTTCATATAATCCTTTGATATTTAATATAATTGAAATTAATCTTAATTCTAGCATTTTGTAAATAATAACTTCACATTCTATCATTTTGTATATCATGAAGTGGAAACAAGAAACATGAAAAAAATTAGTTATTTTAATTACAAAATGAATTAGAAAAGTAGTATTACTTGGATAGTTTGAAGAGAAATAAACAGAAAGAAGAGAAAAGACTTTGGCACGAGATAAAAGCTAAAAGACGTGTTATTTCTACTTGTCATTTTATTTTGACTAAATTATCTCAGTAAGCATCAGTGTTATTCACGCGAGTCTGTTAGCATGAATATGTGCAGAACTGATGTAAAAAAAGAACTTGAGGTACATAATTGATTCCTTGCAAAGTTGGAGGTTCTGTGAGATTACTTTTTGACAGTTTAGTGGTAAATTCATGTATTTGGCCAGTTATTAACTTCTTGCACGGTTCGCAGGCTTAATAAATTGTTTTTAATTTTTTAACTGTTGGTTTTCTGATGGAATAATCTTGTCATTGGGAAATAACATTGACTTTGGAAATCAATTTCCTTTTTGACACTTAAGAGCCATTGCTTATAATTTTTGGGACCAAATAATTGTACACTAAATTTACATGAAGATATTTATGATTCTTCATTTTCGTCTTTATAAATTTATAAAAAATATAATATAAATAAAACTATTATAGAGAATATCACGGGCTAATTACTGAATATGACCTATAATAAAATTATTATAAGTTGAAAAGAAATTAATTAATTCTGTTTCATTTATATAATTTACCTACTTTTATTTGAAAATTTTGTTATATATTTCGTAGGTTTACAAATTGAGATATTTAATGGACAAAATTTTAACTTAAAAGAGTCTCTTATAAAATTGTGATTTTAGTATATATTACCTTTTTATTAGACTTATTTCTTAAGTTATAAGTTTTACTTAAAAAAAAAAAACATTTAGTAAAGATATTCACTTAAATGAGATATCTAATAAATATAATTATCAAATAATTTCCTTTTTTTTTTTTTTACATAAAATGAACTCCACGAAATTAAACTTTTATTCTCAATTATAATGTAATTTTAATTTAAAGTGTAAAATTTAAAACATAATATAAATTGAAAATAATTATATTTGTAAAAATATATTTTCATTATTTAAAATTGAATTGAAATATCGGACAGTAAATTTAATTTTATAAAAAGTAATACAGAATTTTGTATTACTAATTGATTATATATGGTATTTACATATATTTAAATTGGTATCCAATTTAATATGTTTTCAACGTCTTAAAATATCTATAGATTAATATCAAGTGATTATAAACTAAAATCTAAAAAAATATTAATGAAGTGATACCTTACGAGCCAAGCGGGAATAATTTCGCTTGTTAGAAACAACAATTGTCACATTCAGTAGAAAAGCAATTACTTTGGCGTCAAACTTGGAGGTAAATGAGCTTTATGGTTTCTTTATTTATGGGCATGTATGAGAGATTGTAGCACACAGCATTTGTATGTACCCTCTTCTAAAGCAAAGTCAAAAAATTCATCAACTCACAGTCTCTTATTACTCTCGAATAATAGACCATTGTTTATCAGTCAAGTCGTTTACTTCTGCTAAGATTATCCATACCCAGTTGTTAAAAGTTGGGTTTAATAGTCATACTTTTCTGGGTAATCGCTGTCTTGATCTTTACTGTCAGTGTTTTGGCTCCGTTGATGATATTTTGACAGTATTTAGTGATATAACTATTAAAAATACTATATCTTGGAACATTTGCTTGAAAGCTATGTTAAATTTGGGCCATTTTGAGATAGCGCGTTCTCTGTTCGATAAAATGCCTGAAAGAGATGTTGTTAGTTGGAATTCCATGATTTCTGGATTCGCCTCATATGGGTATTGGGATTCTGCATTAGGGCTTTTTCGAGAGATGCAAAATGTGGGTGTGAGACCAAGTGCGTTCAGTTACTCGATTATGATGTCCTTAGTTTCTGTTGCTCATCATGGGAAGGAACTTCATGGCAGCTTGGTTCGAAGTGGGTTGAGTGCATTTAATGTGGTGATTGGGAATTCCTTAGTTGACATGTATGGGAAGTTTGGCCATGTTGATTATACTTTTGGTGCGTTTTTGACAATGGAAAAGTTAGATGTTATCACTTGGAATTCATTGATTTCAGGATGTTGTAAATCAGGATATGCAGAATTGGCATTAAATCAGTTCTGTTTAATGAGATACTTAGGTTATTCGCCTGATGAATTTACATGTTCCGCGTTGATCAATTCTTGCTCTAATTTGCGAAATTTGGACCAGGGTAAGCAGATTTTTGCTTATTGTCTCAAGTTGGGATTTCTTTGTAACAACATTGTTTCAAGTGCCGCTATTGACCTGTTTTCCAAATGCAACAGATTAGAGGATGCAGTGCAGCTCTTTGAGGAGCTAGAAGAATGGGATTCTGCAATTTTTAATTCCATGATTTCAAGCTATGCAAGGCATGGTTTTGAGGAGGATGCTTTCCAACTTTTTGTGCTTTCCTTGCGGGAGAATATTAGGCCTACTGAGTTCACAATCAGCAATGTTCTAACATCTATTTCCATTTTTCCAGCAGAGGTAGGTACTCAGGTCCATTCGTTGGTGGTTAAATTAGGTTTCGAGTTGGATGATATTGTTGCTAGCTCAATTGTGGAGATGTATGCTAAATTTGGATTCATTGATTATGCCATGGAAATCTTTAAGAAAATAATTGCTAGAGATTTGATATCCTGGAATACCATGATTATGGGTTTGGCTCACAATGGCCGAGTAGTTGAGACACTACACATTTTTGAGGAACTACTGAGTAGAGGCCCACCACCAGATCGCATTACACTAGCTGGTGTTCTACTAGCTTGCAGTTATGGAGGTCTTGTTGATGAAGGAATGACTATATTATCATCAATGCAAGAAAGTTTTGGGGTAACTCCTGGTAGTGAGCATTATGCTTGCATTGTGAACTTACTGTGTCAAGCTGGTAGGGCTGATGAAGCATTGAAGATAACAGAAGGAACGCCTTATGAACCCAGTTCTTTGATTTTGAGACGAATGCTTCAAACTGGTTTGATTCATGGAGATCTAGAACTGACAGAGATAGTAACAGAGAGGTTAATGGAGTTGGAACCACAGTCCTCTCTGCCTTATTTTGTGTTGGCTCGAATATATGGGTCAAGGAGCCAATGGGAGGGCATGGTTCGAGTCAAGAAAACCGTTGAAAGAAAAAAGATGAAGAGGGTAATTGGATGCAGTTGGATTGGGATAAGAAACCATGTATATACTTTCAAGGCAGACCAGTTACAGCATCATGGAGGCAAAGACACGTATTTGTTATTAAGATTGCTGGATTGGGAGATAGAGAATGAAGGTTGTTTTTTTGGTAGCATGATAAAGTGAGGGCTATGAAGAGTTGTTTACTTCAGTCTGGCTATACGACCTGGAATGCAAGATTATGCACATTTATCATATAGAATTTTTTGCTTGCCCCATCCTTTACCCAAAAACAATGCTGGCAGAGAGAGCCTTTTAGTAAAACTGCAGTTTATCCATTACCTGTTTGGATTTTTGCTGATTTCAAGACAAACCAATATATGGAATTATTTCATATGATTGTGCCCCAACTGAGTTTAATGGTTCATCACTGCAGAAGGACCGTTACCAACTTCCATATTTGTTAATATAACTTGGCTTGTGCCAATCAAGAGTTAAACTCCATCATTACCTTGACAATGAATGATCTTATATGCATCGGATCAAAAGTTGGTCAATTTCACAGATAGAAGGAATCAAGCCATTATTGAATCCCGAAGCCATTTTGGTTGTATGGTGGCTGCCTAAGCATTATACGAGTTAAAATTGCGTACAGCGCAGATAGCAAAGTGGGCCATTACCGTACATCATTCGAATGGTGGTGGGGCATAACTTCAATCATTACTAGTTTTTTTAGACACTAAATGTCTTCCTTGCATGTTGTTTGTATTCATTCATTTTTCATACTGTTTGTACTTATTGATTTTTTACATTATTTGTACTTGCTGATTTTTACTTGTTGCAAAGTAAATGCAATTTATTTTATATATATAATTTTTTTTGTAAATTATAATATTGAAAGGTTCGATTAAGGAGAGGGCTATCCTGCAGTGTTATTTTGATTTATTGGAACATTCACAAAATAAAAAAAAAAAACATTGCATAAAAATAATAAAACAAAAAAAATTCAATAATTAAATAACTTGTTAAGAAAATAATATATCGGTAAACATTTTTATAATTATAGAATCAAATTTTCATGAAAATGAAATAACTTGTCAAACGATTTAAAATTTCTTGTAATATAATTAACTTAAAGTTAGAACAAAATAAATAATATTACTTTAATGTAAAGTTGTTTTCTGTCAAATTAGGTACGTTGAGATTATGTTTTCTTCTGAATAATTTCAATCCATATCCTTTCATATATGCTAATGCATTTAAAAATAAAAATAATATTCTTCAAAAGGCTAATTTTCATTTTTTTTTTCTTGAATATTTTCGTACTTTAAATATGAGACTAATTTCATTTAGTTTATAACTATCCATTTTTATAAATATTTTATTCGTCTTTAATAATTCCTTTTTATATAATATTTGTCATATGTACAATATTTTGATTTTCATACCTAATCTATGTATATTAATATACAAAGAGAGGCCTTTTTTTTTTTTTTTTTTTATTTTTTTTTTTTTTTTTTTTAATTATTAGAAAGAATTATTGGCTAGTTCTCTTTTTGAAATTTACTCATCTTTTTTTTTTTTTTTTTTTAATTTATAGAAAGAATTATTGGCTAGTTCTCTTTTTGAATTTATTCTCATCTAAGGAAAGAGAGGTCCAACCTAAGATGGATGTATCCAAAATGATGTGTCACATCCAGCAAAGCCAAGCCATGCATGTCAATCTCTTTCTTCCCATCCCATGAGATTCATTCTCCTCCTAGTAGGTAACTATGCTTATAAATGCCTCCAAACTCCGTGTAGGAAACCACCATAATTCACTCCTCTCCAATCAAATTTACGTTCCTCCTCCGCCACTGCCACCGCCACCGCCACCTACAAGAAAAAAAAAAAAAAACAAGAATTGTTAATAACTTAGGATGGCAATTTGGTTCACAAAATCAAGAACCATTTCTTATTATTTGAAGAGAAAATTGGGTTTCTTGGGAATTCTCAACAGAAATTCTTGTTTGGAATCTTCACCTCCATTAAAAATCCCAGTTTTGGATAATAATTCAACTCCAAAGATATTGTTTCAACGCGATTCAGGCTTCCATTTACTGTTTCAGCGATTCAAATCCACCAAAGCTGCCGGCCAACTTGATCCCTCGTACTCTAGCGATGACGAAAATGGTCAGGTATTTTCCTATCATTTTAATTTCTCTATTTTCTTTTTCTTCTCGGGCAATTGCCTTTTAGCCTAACAAGAAAGTATTCATATTTCTTAATGGAAATTTAATTAAGATAATCAAGTGAGTAATTCCTCCCTCCCTCACAAAATTTGTCAATGAGATTTTTCTAACATTTATGCCATTACACCCGAACTGTAGATAATTGTTTTTGAAAGCAACTTATATTTCTTGGGACATATTTTCCACTGAATTTATTTTCTATTGCATTGAAGAATAGAAAATTAGTTTAAGAATATTGAAATTATAATTATAATAAAAATTCTTACATTATAAAAATGACAAATTGTTGTTATGATAGAAGATTGCGTATGATCAATAAAACGACTATCAATTAGAGTGCGTAATAGCTCACAGATGAGCAAAATTTATAAAAATGAATTGTGATTTTGATTGATAATTAATGGTAACGAGGAATGACAGATGGGTACCGGTAATTTGTAAATAACAAAAGTGTTTTTATAGTTTTTTTTTTTTGAGGGGAGTATTTATAGTATTTTATTATTTAATAATGAAGGCATATAATTGTGTTTCTTAGTGGATAGCCCTCCAATTAAGTACGAGGCATCTTATCCTTATCCCTGCTTTGTCCAATGCAAGTTCAGGAAGACAAGATGATATTGAACTCTTGCCTTCTCTATCCAGTTTGAAATAACTAAAGTACAGTTTCCATTATTTGGGCTATTTTATCCACTTCACTATCTTCTTTGAATGGATCCACGTTGCGAGAAATTCTAGATAGATTCAGTATCAAATCAGTTATGGACTAATTTAATAAAATAAAGTTATACAAACAATTTGCTATTTTCTAGTTTATTTTTTCGTTAGTTCTTTCACGTTTTTCATTTGGTTGAAAATAGAAAACCTAATCTAATTATTTTGGTTTAGGAGGTAATGATGTGAAATCGGAAAGAAAATATAAATTTATTTTATTAGGTGGATTTATAGTGATTGAACTTACCTAAGAATTTCCTTCCACATTACTTTTTTTTGATGCAATAAGGAGAGGTAAAAAAAAGTGAGGTTATATCAAAATTAGAAGTAATGGGATATGATTGATGTTGGTTAGCTAGCTACCCCATTAATATTAATGGGGTTTTATATGTGGATGATGAGAAATTGCACGTCATACTATCATTAAAGTAGAGAGGATTTTCTTTTACATTATTATTTTTTTTTAATGAAAAACTTTGGCTCTATTTGATCATATATATAGAAGACAGGGACTTATCACTGGAAGCATCTCATGTGAAAAGTACATTTCAAATGGAATTAATCATGGAGGAGACTGGAAATTTTTTCTTATAATGAATGATATTTTCACTTTCAGAGCTTGCTTTTCTTTTTTCTTTTGTTTTTTTAAACATTTGTTTTGGATGGCAGTATTTTTTTTTAAAGAAAAGAAAATAGCTAGGAAAATATCTAAGAAAAGGAGTTTTCTCTTGTTTGGAAAAAGGAGGAAAATAATGAACAAAATAAAATTTAGCTTATTTTTCCACCCATATTTGGTATTTTTCTAATTTGAAGAGAAGATCAACAAAAAAAAAAAAAAGTGAAAATTTAATTTTTTTTTATGAAATTACCTAAATACTTCCAAATTTCAATAATTGTCATCTCCAATAATATTTTTTTTTCCCTTTAAAATTTTATCACTCCAAATAAAGAAAAATATAATTTACTTTCTTTTCCCTTTTTTGTAAACAAAGCCTTTATTAATGTCAGAGTTAGGTCTTTTTCTTTTGGTACTTATCAAAAACATTATTGTTTAGACAAAGAAGAGTGTTCATGAAGTAAATAATGTTGGGAAGAACCGAAAACCGGAAAAAATAATTAAGTGAAATTGGATGGAGGATAAATTTGTTCAAAATAAAAATCTTGCTCATATATAATTATACACATATATATATATGGACAATTATGCAAAATATGTAATATCTATTTGCACATATTTATTTAATTTAATAAATAAGCAAAAAAAATATTGCCTTCATACATTGAACAATTTCATGTGAAAAAATGACTACATGGTTCGATTAGGGGTGGAAGCGGTCTGGGTATTTTAGGATTTTAGCCCTGCTCCGATCCATTTAAATAAGATATAAATATAAATGGATTTGGGACGAGTACAAAAAGTGAGATTATGACCCGTAATAGATACGAGTAGGGTACGAGTATAGATCTTTAAATACCTGTTATGGGATACCTGCAGTATCCTATCTACTATTAATAAAAATTGTATTTTAAATAAGGGTACGAGATAGATCTTTTAAATACCTGTTATGGGATACCTGCAATATCTCTACTACTATTAATAAAAATTTGTATTTTAAAAATAAGTTCGGAATTTTTAATAGTTTAATTTGGGGGTACCCTCCTTGGTAGAAAGGTATTTTAAAACGGATTTTTTTGAACGGTACGAATAATAAAAATTTAAACAGATTTAGGTATTTTAAACGGATTTTGAACGGGTACGAATAATAAAAATTTAAACAGATTTAGATACGGATACTTAAATAAATTTAATAGTCATCTCTAGATGCGATTGACTTCCCTAGACTGAGTTTAGGGCTCTACTTAGATCAAACTAATGAAAATATGATTTTTTTTTTTAAAACGGGAATATTTCTGACCATAAATTGAAAAAAAATAATAATAAAGTACGAAAATTTATTAAATTTTTTATTTATATTGATTTGCCTATGGATGGGGAAATGAATCCGGTCTAGACAAAGGTGACCTCATTGAATTAGTAATAAATCTATTTAAATAATTAAAAATCAGTATTTAGAGTCAGTTTATAATCTTATCTTATTGGCATAAATATGTAAAGTTGTTAGTGGAAATTGTGTTCAAAGAGATCTGCAAATTTTTCTTGCAAAGATAAGGATATCCATTTCCTAAATTCTTTGTGTTTTAAATTATTTTTTTGAAAGCTGTTTTCTCTAAGCGGATGATTAGCTTTACATGTTACATGAAACATTCGTGTCAAATTAGTATATTAGTTTAATAATAACTTATGGGTGCCACCTAATTTTTGCATTTTTTATTGCAAGCATGTGATCATTACTTATTAGTATTGTCTTCTCTTAATATCAAAACTATATCTTTTGATTTCGGCTATATATATATGTTTTGATTTTAAAAATAGAAAGGTTTGACCAAAATTGGAAAAAGGAAACCGAACCTCTTTTGATTTTTTGCTTGTTTTTTTTTTTTTTTATAAATTTATTTTGAGTATTAGAGAGGATGGGAGTTAGATATATTATTTGGTCGTATGTAGGCTTTGTTCATTTCAAAAAATTCCAAGATTCAGTATATTATTTTATTCAATAAATGCATGTATATATTTTTTTTCTTTTATCATTTGATTCGGTAACAATTTTTCATATAGCGTAACATTTCAATTAAAGTCAAAATAATACATGTTTGTTGACATAGCACTTATACATGTTTGGTCGTATGTGGGACTCAAAATTTTTGAGGGACCCATCATGTTTCTAGAATTGCAATTTTTATCACAATAACCATCTTATGGGGCATGTTGACTAAAAATCTGTTACTAAAAAAAAATTTTTCTGAGAAACAACCTTATACATTGAAGTCGATAAATGTAATTTTCAGTTATAATTTTAAGGCAGCCATCGTTGTACCTTAAAAGTACTTATTTATAACAAAAACTGCAACTCCAGGTACATGATGGCTCTCTCGAATATTTTAAGGTACCACAGAAATAAAACTTTGAAATTCAGAGGTAATTTTATGCATTGGACATTGTGTGTTAGTAGTCATAATAGTATGATAATCTTGTTATATCAGGCCCTGAATTTTCCTGGAGGAAAGGTTACATATATTTCTGAAATGAGATTTATTTCTCAATCTAATGAAAAGAGAGTACCCTGTTATAGACTTCTTGATGACGATGGAGAGCTAACAGAAAACAACGATTTTGATGAGGTAATTGTGTTTTATTTTTAAAAACAAATTGAACCTCAATGCTAAACACAGTAATTAATTTATTGTTCTATTCTTAATAATTTAAAAATTTTTTAAGGTAAGTGAAGAAGTTGCAGTAAAAATGTACAGAGAAATGGTAACACTTCAGATGATGGATACCATATTCTATGAAGCACAAAGGCAAGGAAGAATTTCCTTCTATGTCACATCTAATGGTGAAGAAGCAATAAATATAGCATCAGCAGCTGCACTTGGTCCAGACGATGTCGTTTTGCCTCAGGTTTTTCTTTATTTCTTTCTATAGTTCTTATAATTGGATTGGATTTCATTATATTAAATTTTATAAAATTAAAAATTCATAAATAAAATAAATACTTTTTCATATCCAACATGAAATTACAACTGAATTTTACAATATTTTTTAGAATTCATTTATACAAATCGAATGAGACTTGACTATACTATATGAGACCACCTCATATATTAAACCAATCAACAAAAATTTTTTTTTCTTGAAATTTGTTATTGTGTTTGTCCTTTTTTTTTTTTTTTTTTTTTTTTCTTGAAAATTTTGTTATTGTGTTTGTCCTTTTTTTTTTTTTTTTTAAATCTCCAGCGAGTAGTCGAAGCTATCTTCATTACAAACAAAAATATACCTTTATTTAGTTTTTGGTATATGGATGAAAATCATTATATTCATATATTAGAATAGGTAAATCTTTAACATGCAAGAAATTATAGTCTTAATGATTGAAAAATTCAACATATAAGTATCGAGAGCCAGGAGTTCTAACTGTGGCGTGTTTTTACATTGGAAGAATTTACCAACCAATGCTTTGGAAACAAGGCTGATTATGGAAAAGGCAGGCAAATGCCAATTCAATTTTTTTTTTTTTTTTTTTTAATCTCAGCGAGTAGTCGAAGCATCTTCATTACAAACAAAAATATACCTTTATTTAGTTTGGTATATGGATGAAATCATATAAAATCATATATTAGAAATAGGTAAATCTTTAACATGCAAGATTATATCTTAATGATTGAAAAATTCAACATATAGTATCGAGAGCCAGGAGTTCTACTGTGGCGTGGTTTTACATTGGAAGAATTTACCAACCAATGCTTTGGAAACAAGGCTGATTATGGAAAAGGCAGGCAAATGCCAATTCATTACGGGTCCAAAAAGCACAATTACTTCACAGTTTCCTCACCTATAGCGTGAGTAATACATTATCTTCATTCCTCTCTACTTCCTGCTTTACCAGTTTCTATTTATGTCAATCCCATTACCATTTATCACAAGTCAGAACTAGTTAATCTCCCTTAGTTCTTATTGAGTTTTGCTTTGTTCAGTACCCAACTTCCTCAAGCTGTTGGAGTTGCTTATTCTCTCAAAATGGATAAAAAAGATGCTTGTGCAGTCGCATATATTGGGGATGGTGGTACTAGTGAGGTAATGAAATTATCAGGAATAATCTCTCTAGTTTATTTGATATTGGTAGAGCTGATCAAGCCGACCGAACCGAATTTTGTTTAGGTCGAGTTTGATTTGTTAAAAAGTATTCTCAAGCTCAGCTCGTTTAAAGTAGCTAGGCACAAACTTGACTTAAACTCAACTCATTTGAGTTATAAGCAAGCTTTATGAGCTCAAACTCAAGCTTGAGCTCATTTGCATGCTCATTAACTTAATAGTGAGGTTGTGAGCTTTTTATTTCAAAGCTGAGTTCGGCTCATTCATTAAATGTGCAATCGAAAGCTTTTTTCCAAGGAATTTATAAGCAATTTGGCTCTTATAAGCCATTATAGTATTTGATGTCTATATCACATTTTAATAGGCCGAATGGCCCGCAAAAAAGAAAAAAGTGCTTAATGACATAAAATTATCCCTTTCTAATTGTATTGATTAACTAATGTTAATTTTCAGGGAGATTTTCATGCTGCTTTGAACTTCGCAGCAGTTATGGAAGCACCTGTCATTTTTATCTGTCGCAACAATGGCTGGGCAATCAGTACCCATATCTCAGAGCAATTTCGAAGTATAAACTTCAATAACTTAATTATATCTATAATTAGCTCTAAAAAAACATCATTCACTCATTAGATGAACATTTGACAGGTGATGGCATTGTTGTTAAGGGTCAAGCTTATGGAATCCAAAGCATTAGAGTAGATGGAAATGATGCACTTGCTGTTTACAAAACAATTTGTGCAGCTCGTGAAATTGCTATTAATGAACAAAGACCTATCTTAGTAGAGGTGGGATTGAAATTTTAATTAATTTTCTGGGTTCTTGATAATTCTTTCAGGATTTTTCAAGTTCTGAAAATTAATATTAGCGTCAATCTAAATTTGATTTCAGGCGCTCACATATAGAGTAGGACACCACTCTACATCTGATGATTCAACTAAGTATAGGCCAGTCAATGAAATTGAATATTGGAAAATGGAGAGAAATCCTGTGAACAGATTCAGAAAATGGGTTGAAAGAAATGGGTGGTGGAGTGACGCTGATGAATCAGAGGTTAGAAGCAGCATCAGGAAGCAGGTGAATTATTATTATTATTATTATGATAATTAAATAAAAAAGCTAATATATTTTGTGTCAACAAATCTTTTTACTTCTTAAATAATTATGTTCCTGCAGTTACTGAAGGCAATTCAAGTGGCAGAGAAAACAGAGAAGCCTCCCTTAGGAGATTTGTTCGACGATGTGTATGATCTTCCACCATCAGATCTTCGCGAACAAGAAAAACAACTCAGAGAAACAATTAATAGACATCCACATGACTATCCCTCTGATGTCCCTCTCTAGAATTTTGCCTAGCTTAGCTTACAATAATTATTAATTAATGGTGCATTTTTAAAGTTTGAAACTTGATGTAAATAATTTCTGGAAATAATGTTCTGTCCCTGAATTTCATAGTGACTTCTAATTTATCTAAAATTGAATTTATTCGGTGAAAATGGATAATATGTTTGAATTGAGAAAATCGAATTACTAGATTTTTTTTATTAATTTGCTTTTCACGTGAATTAACTGATAAAAAAAATGCCAAATTGGTCTATTTATAGCCGATTCATCAGAGAAAAATTCAACACACTTATTATTTTTCAAATTATTATTGCAATAAGTGCCAACTATTGGTGCAAGGTCTTAATTGTTACATGATTTCCAAATTTGCTTCATGCATTTATGCAGTAAAATTCTGATTCATTCCACTACAATTCTGATTCATTTATGCAGTAAATCAATCCAACAGTTAATTGCTATTTAAAAAAAAACTGTCAAATTTTTTTACTAATTTATCTTTTTTCTCCTTAATCAAAGGACAATAATACACTCACTTTCACCAAATAATTTTATATGTAATTGGATAAGAGTAGCTCACATTTTGATGCGACCACCAATGTCAAAGCAACCAATGAAGGGTTTTTTGAAATTTATTATTATTTTGTCATTTTTCTTGAAATATCCTAATTATAATAAAAGAATATATTTTTGATTGATTTAGTTCATGGATGGTAAGTATACTGAGAGTACGTAGTTTCTTTTTTACGTGTAATATACCATTTTTGGGTACTTTCTAAGGAATTCCTGAGAGAGACATCTTTCCAGGAATTACGATTTTAAAGAATTATTCAATCTAATAGTAATCGAAAACCAAAACAAACAGAAATGACGTCCTTTCGAACAAGTTCAGGGCGACAGGGAACATTTCCCTCGTCGTTCTTAAGCTCTAGTATTGGATCAGAAACAAACAATCGATTATCTTTGATTCTCCATGCAAGAACACCGTGAACTAAAAAGGCAATGGCACAAACAAAGATTGGCAGTTAGAGAATTTTAAAGAATCAGGAACGGGTTTCATTACAAATTTCAAATTTCTGCATATAATTAAATTCAACTCCTTCTCTGTAACTGAACATGACCCAACTAAGCTCAGTGATAATAGGCAAAGATCATCAATGTCAGTACTCAAAATACGAAAAGTTTTAAGATTTCGGAGCCCCTGAGCAACGGACAAATCCAAGAATTAAACTTTCTCGTTGTTGTTATCTTTGTTCCGCCTGATGGTATATTCTTAAAGTATAATCCTCTTATATTCTGTTATTCCGCGAATCTACTCTTGTTCTCCTCGAAAATTCATTCTACATTAACTTCATTATCTTAATAAAACTATCTCTCAATGGCCAATCCCAATCTTTCTTTCCCATATTCCAATTTGGTTCGTTTTACACCTTCCTTTATAGCAAATGCACACTACTTACTAAACTTACAGTATAAAAACTTCAATAATCTCAAGTTTTTCATTGAATTTAGATCTTTCTTATCCTTGAAAACCAGTTATGGAGAATTCTTCGCGGTCACATGTTGTTATAGTTTATGATGCCACTAAAGATCGTGGCGTGCATGAGCTTAGACGCACCATTGATGAAGTGAGACTGAGAGGTGACATTCTTCATGGTGGTGATAGGCTCATTGTTCTTGGAGTTCTTCATAAGGTGCCTAATCCCAGTAAGTGTTTGATTTAATGTCTCAATCACATTTATTTGCTTAATTTTTGGTTTTTCCATTTCTTTATGGATAATAGTATTCTGAATTGTCAATTGTCATGGGTTTGGAAGACTTTCTTATATATATGTGCTTCAAGATTGACTAGTATTTGTAATTATCTTAGTTAATTAGTGATAAGCATAACCAAATAGGCTGTTGTTATTTTAATACATCGCAAGTAGGAAAAAGAAAATGTCTTGCAGAATGCTAATGTTGTTTGCAAAATTTTGGCCGTGATATATATATATATATATATATATACATAAATAGCTGATATATAAGAGAACAATGTAGAGGGAAAGATAGAACTAACTCTACAGTAGGTTCATTACTAAACCAACACTTTTTCCCTGATTCATTTTTTTTTTAACCTTTGGGTTGGCATAGTGGGTTACATGAAAGCGTGTGCCGATTCCTTTGGTGGGACAAGTGCTCGTATCATGGAAGAGGAAATTTCAAAGAAAATGGATATGTATGTAAACATGCTCCTGCAAAGTGCTGAAGTTTGTGAAGATGAAGGGGTAATTAGTAAATGCTCTATTGCTTTCTTCTCTTTTTACATTTGATTAGCATTTGATTATTTATAAGAGAAACCATGTATATTTTTTAACAGAAATTTTGCATTTTTGCAAAACAAATGAGAACAAAATCCTAAAGGTGAAACTATAAACAAGTTGCAGGTGGAAGTGTAATAAATGGAAATAGTACTTTTACGGTCTTACAATTCCAACAAAATTCTTCTCTGAAATATGATGCTGCTAATAATATATATGCATATATATATATAGTACTTTTACCTTTTGTTATGCGACAGGACTGATCATTCTGGAGAAGCTTGCAGTTGTTATCCTTACCATTTATTTTCTGTTGCTTTCAAAAAATAGGTAATTATAGAAGTTAAGATTACAGCAGGAACTCCCATGAAGCAGGTTATAATTCAAGAAGTAGTATCTTTTAATGCAGCTTGGGTTATACTGGATCGGTAGTGATTTCTTTTTTGATTGATTTAGAATTTTAATTTTTCTGGTGATTGGTATTGAACTTTTTTTATTTTATTTGGATTAACCAATGAATTATTTATCTGAACAGGCATCTGAGGAGGGATTTGAAGTTTTATCTTAAACAGATACCTTGCAAGGTTGCATTAATTCAGGATAACTTTTCTGTGCAACTCAAGAAATCTCAGACTATGAATGAAACAGATCCCATGGAACATAAATATTTTTATTCCATGTCCAAACCTGTTCCACTGTTGAATTCTCAATCTGATGAAAATGAAGGACAGACTGAAATCACTTGCAGAAGTTACTCATATATGAGTTCCATTGACAGCTCTGATATGTCTAGGACTAACCCTTCGTATGGATCACGTGAACATAACTTTTCGTTGGATTTTGAGTCATCTGCCAAGCAACATAAATCAGGTCAGCATTTCTAGCTATATGAGCAAATTTATTTGTTATGATATCTTACCATATTCTTGGTACAGCTGCTAAGAATGATGATACTATACTTCTGTTATTCTTCAGAAGGTATGCTTGTTTATTAATCATTCAAGAAATGCTTGTGGACCTCCTGAACTTGATTACTTTTTGTAATTCCAAGAAAACTATTAACCATACATCTACTGCACCTAAATATGTGCGCCATGTGTTGATTCACATTATTATAGCTTTCATTTCTGCAAAGCAGTGATACATAAAATATTCACAGTGATATAAGAGGTAATTACTATTCAGTCCCAAGGGTTTGTAAATTACACTATTAAGGACATAAGGTCTAACCGTTAGTTTTTTTCGTTAAGTGGCGATGAGCTATCAAAAATTTTCCAAAGAGGTAATTACTGTGAAATCCCTTAGATTTGGTCAAATACACTAGAAAGGACTTTGGTTTTCAAACTTACGCTATCCACTTCCTATATTATCAACCATGGTTAATTCAGTTATTATATGGGTATTTTTGTATAATCACATTTGTATCTTTTGACTTTTGTATTTATTATTATTATTTTTATATTCACTAATAGAAAAGGAATGAATTTTTTGCGAAGGGACTTACTAGTGTAATGGAATTATAATGTAGGAACTAGAGTATAATTCTGAAAACTTAAATCCTCATTAATGTATTTGACCAAAACCTAGGGACTAAATAGTAATTATATCATGATATAATGATAAAATATATTCACCTTTTGCTCTGCTTCCCTCATAAACATATTCTTTTTTTCGGTAATCATATTTCTATAATTTATTAGTTTCTTCGTGAAGAAATGAGATTATCTTGCTTTGTTATTTTGCACATACACATTTCCTTGGTATGAATAAACAGAATATTATGTTATGCAGACACATATAACAAAGCAGAGAACAAACAAATTGCTCAAAATCACAATAAAAAAGCCTCTAGATGGCAATCATCGGAAGCACCCCTTCTATGTTCTACGTGTGGGGCAAGGACTGAATTGTACATCAAGGAGTCAGTTCGATTCAGCTTTTCCGATATTCAGCTTGCAACTAAGGATTTTTCACAGGAGAACCTATTAGGAGAAGGTGGATATGGACATGTATATAAGGGTGAGCTTAAAGATGGACAGCTAATTGCAGCAAAGGTGAGAAAAGAAGCAAGCACACAAGGATTTACAGAATTTCAGTCCGAGGTATATGTCTTAAACTTTGCTCGACATAAGAACATCGTCATGCTTTTGGGCTTTTGCTGTAAGGAGAACCTTAACATCCTGGTTTATGAGTATATTTGCAACAAGTCTCTGGATTGGCATTTGTTTGGTAGGTAACTGTCAACATTGTGCCCAAATCATTGATTGTGATAATTTCTTCGTCTCTTTAGCTAATAAATCTAATCTCTTACAGATAACAAATCAAATACTCTTGACTGGCACCAAAGGTATTCCATAGCCATTGGAACTGCAAAAGGGTTGCGTTTTCTGCATGAAGAATGTCGTGGTGGTCCTGTCATTCATCGAGATGTGCGACCTGGCAATATATTGCTCACACATGACTGTGTCCCTATGGTGAATATCTAGGCATATTATTCAACATGCATCTTATTCATGAAAACAATGCATTTTCTTTATAAAGTTGTAGTTATTGATGATGTCCTGCTGCTGCATATTATTGGGAAACTCCATGTACAATATGATATTTAGTGAGACAAGAAAGTGGTCTTTCTCCATTTCTTTTTCATTCATCTCTGCACTCTTATTTCCCTTATTGAATTAATATTTCAATTTAAAAAAATTAGGTTAAGGCAAATGTTTAAGATCATTGCAGTTAATGGAATGATTTGCTCTCCTTACAGCTGGGGGATTTTGGCCTTGCCAGATGGAAGACTACTGATGAGGTGCAAACAAGAGTGCTCGGCACACTTGGGTACCCCTTTTATAAGCTTTTGTGTTGCAGTGTTACTGAAATGCATTATTTTTTTGCCTAATTTGGCTAGTTAAAAAAATCTCAATTTGACATTTGGTGTACGTAGATATCTTGCTCCAGAATACGCAGAAAATGGCATTGTTTCTGTGAGAACAGATGTCTATGCATTTGGCATTATTCTCTTACAATTAATATCAGGACAAAAAGTAGTTGATTCAAAAAGAAAGGAAGGACAACAATCACTTCGACAGTGGGTATGTTGGTGTTCTACAATTGATAAACTTTCTGATGCATGCCATTATATTGCAACACATATTTCCTTTGTTACAATGCTTATTTCCTTTATGCTTTCTTTGACGGATATTAGGCAGAACCACTGATTGAGAAGCTTGCACTACATGAACTAATCGATAAACGTGTTGGAGATTCATATGACACATATGAATTATATCTTATGGCTAAAGCAGCACAATTGTGTATACAAAGAAGCCCTGAAATGCGACCATCAATGGGAGAGGTAGTTGGATTTTGATGCTCTGAATATCAGAGCATTTAAAAAAAATGAATGAAAAAAGTTCTCATTACTGTTAAGTTTTGTGCTTTTTCTTGGAGATATCTGTACTTCACCTCACTAGTAGAGATCCTGATACCCACTTATTTTACTTGGACTTGGAGACAAGTTTCAATTATGGGTTTGCATCCACTAGTACAGATTTTTCACACCTTTCAAATTTCAAAATATCACACCTTGCTTTAATATCCTTAATCCCTTATTCACTATTTTTTAAGCTAAAGTGAAGAATTGAATCTACATGGCATGTAAACTTATGAACAGATTTTCTTAATATGAAACTTAGAATATTTACTAGGATTTTAACTTTTTAATCTTTTATTTTAGAGGGATTTATTAACCATTCTTTTATAATATCTATATTTACTTTATGTAATTCTATGTACAAGCTATCTTTCTTTTTTATATCATTTGAATTTCATTTCCATTTACTGTGTCTAAAAACTGATGAATTCTTGATTATTATACAGATCATTCGCCTTCTTGAGGGAGAAAATAGCCATCTCCACCGTTTGCAAGAGCAAGTTTTACCTCATTATAGAAGCACATGAAGAGGCTGAAGATACACTCATTTTAGTTTTAAAAATGTCTCTCTCCTATTTCTTTTTTCCTCTTTACATTTTCTGAGCAATAACCATATATTGCTCCTTATATACTTCCTTATGGCCTTGCTTTGGCCAATGATTTTGTGTTTAGATGGTTTTGAGAAGAACACTCGCTCTTGAAATGTGAGTATGCCGAAACACGATCACTTAGACGAAAGGTAATGTTCATTTTCTTATATAAATATAAAGATCGAGTAGGATACAAATAGGGTGTCTGGATTCAGTTTCAGTTCAAATCGAATCAAATCATTCAAAATCGAATTTTTCTTAGATGAAACCGAATCAAGTTTTTTCAGTTATTCACTTAACAACTTCGACTTGCATTTATGAGTTTGGTTAATTTCTATTTTAACCAATTTTATTTTTTTCTTTTAGTATCCGTATTAACTAAACATCAATTCTTTAGAAAATTGACAAAACAATATTTTAGTTAATAAATTATTTTTTTGAAAAAAATTGAGATTGTTTTCTTTAGGCTCTATCCATTAAATAGCATTACACTATTTAGTAATATGCATATATATATATATATAGAGAGAGAGAGAGAGTAGCGTTTAACTAATTAAATAGCTAAAATATTATTAATTAACTAACATCTAACAGTCGATAAAAGAGTTGGTAATTATTTAAAATAACAAATAGCTAGTAGAATTATGGTTTTGAAAATTGGATCGGTACCGACTGATTTAATCCAGAACTTATCTATAGTTTATTCTGAATTAGATAATAAAAACAGAGATCTGAGAACTGATTATGGTTTTGAAAGCTGAACCGGTACCGAACGGTTTAATCCAGAACTTGTCTATAATTTATTCCCAATTAAATAATAAAAACAGAGACATGAGAACTGATAAACCCAACTGGTCAATTATTACAGTTTGATTGAAATTATAGGTTTAAAATATGAGTCTCTTCAAAATTTGGGCTATTAATTTTTTAACTTTTGGACATCTTCGTTTCTAAATCCAAAATCTTATTTTATTGACCGAAACAACTAAACTGTCCAATTTTAAAATCAAATGTGAAAAATAATATTATATTTTATGATAATTAATTGATTTTTTTGTTTAAATATTAAATTTAATCTTTTTTATTCTTTTTCTTTAATATTATTTATTAAGTTTTTCATTCTTTCGTAAAAGCTTAAATCTCAACTTCTTTTTTAATATTAAAATTATTTTTTAACCTATTTTTTTAGTTGTATTTAACAAATATATTTAAAAATAATATACACAAAAATTTATAACCTATTCATTATTATTATTATTTTCAAGTAAAGGACTTAAATCTAACCTCCATTGATTTTGTGGAAAATGAAGTAAATCGCAAGGCTTGATCAATTTTCATGTACAAGGGCATCCAAGAGTAATTGCAAATAATCTTTCTTTTCTCAACCATGCAAATCCACCTCCAAAACCCAGCAAGCCTAATTTTGGACCTTGAAAAATCATGCACCAGTAACGCATTTAGATACGCTTTTGAAGCTAAATATAGCATACGGTACAACTTTTAGCAAGGAGTAGAAGTATACGTAATTAACTGATTTCAGAAAGTAGTTTTTCAAGTGCGTCAGTTGCAAGAGTATGCAGGCAATCTTGGCCATCACTGCAGCTGTCTGGTCTTAACCAATTCAGGATCTTTGAATTCTGTCACATGGGAGTTCAGAGTAACCTGGCTGCTCACGAGGAAGCGCTCTCGAGAGACTGTATTTAGATTATCAAAAAGCATGCCTTCTTCTGGGTATGTAGACTGTATGTAGACAAATGAAATGAAACATATAAGATTTAAAATGAGAAACATAATGCTTCAAATCAAATTTAGCTTATCTACTTGCCTTCTTCTGGGTATGGTAATTGATATTCTGCAAGAATTTTGAACACACTCTGAGTAGCAGGGGCGAAACACTGCAAGACTATTACAGCTGTTTTGACGCTTTGGACTGTGCTGCTGTGTGCAAGAACCAAAGGAAAGAAGATTCCTTCCACCTTATATGAGGCCAGGTAGGAACATGATACCAATACCAGTTAAATTGAGTGTGAAAATCTTCCTATTTAACACTACCAGCAAATCCAGTATATACTTATTAGGTTCAAAGATATGGAAAAACTAAACATGAGAATCCTGCCAAAACATGAGAATCCAGGATGTACTTAATAGGAAGATCAGCAAAATATTGCATTCCGGCATGCATAAAATCATTTGTCTTTTTAAAGTTGATGACTTGAGCACATGACTGGTTTAGTTTACCTCTGTTGTTGAGCAACTACACCGTTGTCACAGACAAAAATAACAATGCATGAATGTTCCTGCAAATCCTTCTTTAAGGCAAGTCATGTCCTTAGGTATCTAATTTCAAGATATCATAAGCAGGTCTAAAGAAGTTATGATATTATTCTCGAGCTACATATTTAAGCTTTTACAAAGTAAGAAATCTTTGGCATTCCCGAAAAATAATTGCACATTCCCCAGTGCAACTCATAATTGCACTTCTGCTTGAATCGCTAAATCTATGTGTTTTCACATAATTTTCAGGGCTTTGCTCAATTCCTCTTCTCCATGTCCGTGCATAATCATTGTAAGAGGCAGGAAAAAGGACTCGGAGGCATCAACATCATAGGTTTTCAATTCGAAGCATACCTGTCAAGAGCTTTCAAACAGTACTGATTCCAATGGGGAAGCATCATTAATTGTAGTAGAAGATAACTTATTCAATGTGCTTAAATAAATTGATATAATCATGATATATGCAAGGTATAAAATTGTCCATAAGAAAGTTGCAAAAACATGTAAGAGAATGGTAGCCAGCCTTGTGAGATAACAGAAGCAGGATTATCTGCACCATAAGAATGTTCATAGAGTTCAGATAAGGAATCTCGACATGATTTAAGTAGTAACTCCAAAAATTGGCTACCGCAAAATGTCATTCTCTTCAAATTTACAATTAATTGAGAGTGATTGGATACGTGAAAGGTTTCTGCAAAAGCTGGAACAAAAATATGATTTTTCCTCGTGAAGAAGCAGATGGAAATACCCAGATTATTTGCATTCCAAATATCTTGTTCAATCAGCCCAACTGAAACCAGGATGCTTTTTTACTTGCTTCTCTCTCATTACCTTTCTGACCAGGGCAGAACTTTCCCACTCTCCAGAGGTAGCAAGTAGGCCAGATAGCTGCACATACGCACTGGAGCTCTCAGGATCGAGCTCAATGATCTGCTCTGCCACCTTTTCTCCAAGATCCTTATCTCCATGAGCCACACAACCCCTCATCACAGATGACCACATGCTGGCATCCGCTTCAAAAGGCATATTATTGATAAGATTCACTGCTTCCTGCAGACAACCAGCACGAGCCAAAAGATCAACCATACAGGAAAAGTGCTCAATTCCTGGATCAATGTGATAGTCATATTTCATAACATTAAACCATTTCCATCCCTCCTCAACCAATCCACAATGATCACAGGCAGATAAAACGCCTGTAAATGTAATATCATCTGGCCTCACTCCATCATGCTTCATTTCATTGAACAGTGTCAGAGCTTCCAATCCATAACCGTTTGTGGCATACCCAATCAGCATCGAATTCCAAGAGACACAATCAGATTTTATCATTGTATCAAACAATTTTCTCCCATTTTCAACATAACCACACTTACAATAAAAATCAACAAGGGAGGTAGAGACAACCTGATCAGATTTGAGCCCAATGATAATTGCTCTTGCAAAAACCTGTTCACCAAGCTCAAGCGAAGAGATGCCAGCACAGGCACTTATCGCACTAGCAAGACTAAACCTGTCCATTCTCAAATCCAGTTTATTCATTTTGCAAAAGAGATCCAATGCTTCAATTGGATAACCATTTTGGGCAAGACCCGTTATCATTGAATTCCAAGATATCAAGCTTTTACTCGGCATTGTTTTGAAGATCTCTTTTGCATCTTCAATTCTACCACAATTGCTATACACTTTGATCATTGAGTTGAGCAAAATTGTGTCATAAGCTTTGAGCTCACTGAATAATTTGCAAGCATTATTAGGACTTCCACATTTTGAATATGTATCTATAAAAGAACAAGCAATAATAATGTCATCAACTACTCCAACTTTACAAGCATAGGCATGCATTTGTTTACAATGTTTAGTATTCCCAAAGCTACTGCAAGCACTCAAAACAATTGCTATTGTGGAGTAGTCTACCAGAATTCCATTTCTCTGCATCTCATTGAAGATAGCAAATGCTTCCATTTCCTCATTATTGGTAACATATCCAGAAATCAACGAGTTCCATACTGCAACACATGGATTACTTTTCTTACCAAATATTGTTCTAGCATCACTCATTCGTCCACAATTTGCATAGCCTGTGATTAGTGCTGATAAAGAAAAATCATCTAACTCCCCCATCATATGCAAAACATAATTTGCACTGTTTAAATCACCACACTTCCCATACAAATTAATCAATGAACTAGCCAGCACAGAATCAAATTCCAGGTCATCAACTAGAATCCGAGCATGGATTTGTTTTCCACATTCAATAGCTCCTAAATCAGTACAAACACCAATAACAGTAGCCAATACAAATGTATCACCATATGATTTTTCAAAAGGCTTCGAAGTTAATTCTTTAAACAGCTTAATAGCTTCTCTTGAATACCCTTTTTTGGCATAACCATGAATCATCGAATTCCAAGCAATCCCATTTTTCCTAGGCATCTCATTAAACAGCCTCCTAGCAATATCTAGCTCACCAGCTCTAACGAACCCCGACATGACCACGTTCCATGAGTAATCATTCTTGAAGGGCATCAAATCAAAGAGCTCTAAAGATTTTTCTTTGTTTCCAGACTTCATGTAGCCTTCTACCATTGTATTCCAAGAAAAGCAGTTTCTACTGGGCATCTCATCGAACAGTTTATGCGCATCACTTATACCGCCACACCTTGCATACATCTGTAGAAGGCGATTTGCCAGTGAAAGAGTAGAACTTATGATACCCTTTTTAAAAAAGAGAAGGTGGAGCTGTTTGCCTTGGTAGATTAAATGGTGGGTATTAAAGGATTGAAGCAAGCGAGCCAAAGATTCGAAGTCATGATCCATAGCGATGGTGTCAACGTTAATCCTTTGGAGAAAAAGCAAAAAAATGAGAGGAAGCTACCATTAGTAACGAGAAATTTGACAAGATTAGAAAGCGAAACATGTTCATCAACTACATCAATGTCGGATATTTTGCAGGTCGAGGTCTTACTCGTACTGCCCAATTCTTTTGACAGACAATAAGTCGTTGAGAATTCAAATTCCTCTTCCTTGACATCGTTAATTTCCACGATTGAATAAACGAAACTACAATCGAGCAAGAATAAAAGAAGAAAAGGAAGCAATGACTGACGATGTTTGTTGCAGGGGACTGAAGGCGGTGATTAGGTGGGATTTCAAAGGGCAAAAGAGTAAGTTTAACCTCGTGAATCATTTGTAATCAGCGCTCGAACAAGAGTAAAAACGACACGGTTTTGAATCAATAGTGAAGGGAATGCAGGGGGAGGCCAAAACGTTCCGGCGACGTGATTCAGGTGATCGATCAGCTAGAACGCCGTCGCTTAGCCCCCCGATGGATCTCTCATCTCCAAATCTGCCTACTATGACATCCAAATGTACTCTCTACCTCAGATTTCGTTGGCATCTGATAATTTTCTCTATTCTCTGTTTGGCTAGCAAGAATCTTAGTAATTTTGATTGGGTATTGTTGTAGGCAAGAGAGGAGATGTCGAGAGAGACTTGGGCAATTGCTATGCTGGAAGAGTATCAGTGAGCTGTTTCAGTGGCTAATCTTGGCAGCATTCCTGACGTTCAAGGGTTATACCCACAACTTAGCTTGAAGGACTCTCCTTGGGTTATGTTTTCTAAAGTTATTATGAACAGTAATTTATAACTGAAAGGAAAAGATGAGAAAGAGAGGACATGGTTTGATTGTAGTTGAAGTGCCATGGAAAGGTACTATCAGAGATGTTCATTATTGTTATTGTTTGAAAAACTGGTTATTGAGGCACTTTATAATTTATATGGCTCTAATATGGAATGATTTTTCAATTTTAGCACTATTTGATGTTAATTTTATTTATTATTGGATGACTAATAGAGGAACCTTGCCTGAATCCCCTAAATTTAGGTTTGAGACTCTAGAGGATCGGTTTGGTTGGTTATTGCTGAAGCAGCTCAGAAATTGAGCCTTCCTCTTATATCAAAAGATGGTGAAATCCATGAGGAGGAAATAGAAAAATGGAGTATAATATCATGAAGTTCCCTTGATACAAGTACCAGTGTGACAATCAACTGAAGTCACAATTCAATGAGCTATGCAAATAGTTCTGCAAACTGCAGTGCAGGAGCAACAAATTATGCCTTTTTTCTTGGTGCTGCTGATTCAGCAGAAGCTGGAGTTGGTGGTGTGCCCAATCGTTTTCTTGGTATAACACCTACCTACTTAATGCAAACTCAGCTCCAACCCGTCAATAATGATGGTGTGTTTCTCTTACTCTGGCTCTTATAAACTGCATATATGTTCTGCCATTTTCATGAAAGGTACAAACATAACATGAAAGGTACTGTTGTTATTTTCATGTAAAAATAATTTAAAAGTATATTTGGTGAAAGTTTAGTGTATTAAAAGTTAAAAATGGAAGTTGAAATTAATCCAAATGCATTTTGGCGTAAACTTACCTCACAGGGTATTTTAGTAATTCGAAATACTTGGAGGTTTCAAGAATATTTTAATAATTCTGTATGCCTTCAAGAAATTATATTTTTTCTGATAGTGTGTCCTAATGTGTTGTTGCGTGCCACTTGTTTTTATAATATATATATAAATTGTCATTATCATGTGACGTCCCGTGTCTATATCTGTGCAACCTATGTGGAAATGGAAACTTGGTGATTTCAGAATGCTGATTGCTTGCTTCCCCTGTGAAACTACATGAAATTTGGAATCAAAATCAAAACTCTTTCTTCTGCATTTTTTCCTAATCTAATTCTCCATTTACTATCTGCTATGCATATGTTCTGTACATTTGAATTGATCACAACCAAATGATTTATAGGGAGAGCTACTACGATTAATAAGTGCAATTATATACGAATATTTTGTTGACTTTCCAAACTTCCCAAACCACAGATCATCTCTATTGAGTTGCTCAAAGTCAAGGTGATTCTATTTTCTTTCTTTTTCTTGTTGTAATACTTGCTTCCAATTTCTAAGCAAGAAAAAGGATTTCTTGGAACAAGAATTGCTCTTTTTTTTGTTTATTTATTTATTTTGGCTTTTGGAATTGCTATATAGATAATTTGAGGTGTCTGTTCGGATGGGAATTCGTATTAGCAGCAGCAGCATCAAGGCTTATACAACTAATACAGGTTTATTTACCCATTTCTTCTTTTATTTTATTGAGTAATTAGGGTTTTGTGTGTTTTCATAAGTAGCTGTTTTTAGTTTTGCTTGATTTGGATTAAAATTAGTCACCTTCTTCTTAATTTTTACCCCAGGGCCATACACATTGGTCAGGCTTATTGATTTAAGCTACACATTACATTACCCGTTGATGGATTAATGGAATTTTTTAATGCGTTGCCATTTTTGTTTATGACTCTGCTTGAGCTATGGTTATGTTATGTGTTGCAGTTGTGAGGATTTCTAATTTTTTATTCCTAACCCTAAACCCAATTTAGGTTTGGGTCCGATTGATCACTAAGTTTCTTTTTTGGATATGATTGTCAGATAGTTGAAAATATGGTGCAATTGCAATAAGTCTTAAATATATTAAACTGTATTTGGGCAATGAAAAGAATATATTTTTCACTTTTCTGCAAACAATTTTTATTTTGATTAATTTACCTATCCTGTAGATTTGGACTCAAGTGTTAACAGAGATTGGAAGAATCTCAGCATTGAGGGTGAGATATTGCAGTCCTTGAATTTAAAGAACTTTAGCTTCAGGGAGCTAAAGACTGCCACTAAAAACTTCCGATCGGATAGTTTACTGGGACACCATGGCAATTGGGTAGTTTTCAGAGGTTGGATTGATCAACACTCGCTTACACCTATCAACACCATTAGTCTTATGGCGATTGCTGTGAAGAAGCTTAACCAAGAAAATTTTCAGGGTCGCAAAGAATGGCTGGTCAGTTACATGGTTTCAATGTCTTATTGTTTTTGCCATTTATTATTGATGATCAATTTTTTACTTTTCAATTTAGGGACCTATTTTATTTGGTTGAGGTTCATCATTGGAAGGAGTTTGCATACTTCCCTCACAATTAGAGGGAACTTGATTGTAATAGATATATATTAAATGTAAATCCAATTCTTCTTGTGTGCTTTAATTGCTTTACTACTTATAATGATACAAGTGCTTGATCCATGGAAATAGCCATTGCAAATTTAGGATGTCCAAAAAGTTTAAATATTTAATATCAGTGAAATTATGACATTCTAGATTCCTTTTCATATGCAGAGTCTTTAAAAGACTGATATGAGCTAAATAGTTGATTTTCTGTTGTTCTTTGGACATACAGGGAGAGATCAACTATCTTGGAAAATTGCAGCATCCTAATCTTGTTAAGTTGATTGGTTACTGCTATGAGGATAACCATCGGCTTTTGGTTTTTGAGTTTATTTCTCGTGGCAGCATGGAGAATCATTTATTCATGAGTGAGTTCTATGTTGTATTAACTCAATTGCAGATTTTAGCTTTTACCTTTTGCCTTATAGGAAGAACAGCATTCCATACTCATTTCGATATATATGTGTGTGTGTGTGTATACTCCTTCCACAAGCATTAAATAAATCTTGAAACAGGAGGGCCTCTTTTCCAGCCACTTTCTTGGGACCTACGCATGAAAATTGCCCTTGGTGCTGCAAAGGGGCTTGCATTTCTTCATAGTGCTGATGTGAACGTCATATATGGGGGCTTTAAGACTTCTAATATACTGCTTGATTCAGTATGTGATTCATTCACATTACATAACTCAGTCACTTCTTTCACATTATATCTTAATTTGGGACTAACCCTTAGTTGAGTCAGTTTTGAGTAAATCTGCATTTGTTGACTTATTCCTACTGCTATTTGCAGAACTATAATGCAAAGCTTTCTAATTTTTATTTAGCCAGAGACGGGCTACCTGACGATGAGAGTTATGTCTCTACTCCAGTCGTGGGAACTAATAGTTATGTTGCACAAGGGTATTTTTCCACAGGTACCATGTTTATATGTGGTTTCTCATAAATCTTGTTATGATTAGCTGCTGTATTTAGCTGTATTACAGCTGTAATTAGTTGTAATTAGCTGTTGAGATTAGGAGCTATAATTAGCAGATCACTAGCAGATTATAGTAGATCATTAGCAGATTATTTGGGATCTTAGCAGATTATTTGGGATCCTTGATTAGTTACCTATATTGTATATATGTAGTAATATTTATATCCCCAATTCTTGAGGGAATAATCAAGTTAATATTTCCTCTCATTCTTCTTCTTCACATGGTATCAGAGCCAACAAAGGGCCTGAATACATTGTAAATTAGCGTGTAGAGATTATACGTGAATGCTTATAATTAGCAGATCACTAGAGATTATATATAGTAGATCATTAGCAAGATCTATTTGGGCATCATTAGCAGGCAATTATTTGGGGATCCTTGATTAGTTACCTATATTGTATGAATATGTAGTAAATATTTATATCCCCATTCTTGATGGAATAATCAAGATTAATTAATAATCAAGTTAATATTTCCTCTCATTCTTCTTCTTCACATGGTATCAGAGCCAACAAAGGGCCTGAATACATTCTTCTTCTTTTCTCTTTCTCTCTTTTAAGGGATTTCCAATTACCCTATTATTATCTCTCTTCTATAGTCACAGCCACTATCCCAGGCCTACCCACTGACCAACGACCTCAGACACCAAGTCGTGTCACCGGAATCCTCGCCGTCGTCAGCCACACGCCGTCGACAGATTCTGCCACCTTTCTCTTTGCTGTTCTGCTGCTGAATATGGCTGAATCAGGTCTAATCAAGTCTCTTCTTCCTAATTCTACCGGTATTACTACTGTAAAACTTCAAGGCAGTAGCAATTACATTTCTTGGTTCAATTCTATTGAGCTATGGTTCTTAGTTCTTAGGTCAAGGATATATGATCCCATCTTATTAAGAATGCCTTATGATATCAGTTGCAACCGATAGGGACGGCATGGATTAAAAACTTGATGCTTAGTTTGTAGCCTATTATGGCAATTACTCTTGATTCCCAAATTACTTCCTCTTTTTCAGTCCTGTAAAACCTGTTGTAGGTCTGGACAAAGCCAAAATTGTTTATACCAATGATACAACGATTCAATGTTGTCTCTAATATTGTCATTGAGTAATCAAATGGATGCTAGATTACATTGGCAAGTGAGACATTGAAAGTTGAGTTTGTTTCCATTATGCCTTTCACAGAGAATATTGCTGAACAAGAAAAACAAAGAGACAAGTTTTTTATGGTCTTGGCTCTAATCGGCCTTCGACCAGATCTTAGCTCTGTTCGAGATCAAATTTTGACTAGTTCCATTATTCCTACCTTAGAAGATATCTCTGCTCACCTTCTTCGTATTTCCACCACTCCGGCTGCACCTCCTAACATTGAAGCCTCTGCTTTTGCCGTCTAGAATAGTAATCAAAAATGGAAAGGTAATAGGTATAAGGTTCTAAGCACTTATTGTGATAAACCGGGACATACTCGTGAAACCTGTTGGAAATTACATGGTAAATCGTCTCAGAATCAATCTGCTGGTACTGGACGACCTGCAGCTCATATGGTTCAGAGTAATGGAGTTGGAATTCTTCCTTTGCCTGGTACATCAAATTCAAGCAAACTGCATCACCCTTGACAGGTCAGGAATATGAAGAAATATGCACAATTCCCAAGCAGCCAAAACAACAAGCTCAACAACAGTCACCCTAGATCTACAGCACCTCTAGCACTTCAGTTGCTTGTTTGTCTCAGTCCTCAAAACTGTGCTCCTTGGAACTTGATTCCGCGCTCCATTTCTGGTAATGAAACATTGTTCTCTACTCTCATTCCTACTCTAGACTCATCCACAGTCACCTTAGCTAATGGTTTAGAAACTAAAGTTAAAGGCATTCGGACAGTTCAACTTATTCCATCAGTAACTTTACAATTTGTCTTATACACCCTTGACTGTTCTTATAATTTAATTTCCGTTAGCAAAATCACCGAAAAGCTTGATTGCATTGTCTTTTTCATAACTAACTATGGTGTTGTGCAGGATCGGCGTACGGGGAAGACGATTGGAATGGGATATAAGTCACATGGCTTGTATTACATATCCCCTTTGAAAGCCACTATTATATTAGCTTCTACTGCTTCCGCTGAGCTTCTACACAATCGTTTTGGTCATCCTAGTCTTCTTAAACTTAAACATTTAGTTCCTAGCTTATCTTCATTGTTTTGGAATTGTGATTCTGTAACTTGGAAAACAATCTCATGTTTCATTTCTAAGATTGTCAAAATAAAGCTGGCTATGTTTGAATTGTTCATTTAACATTTGGGGTTCCTTGTCGTGTTAGTACAAATTCTGGGGGATTTTAAAATTAATTTTTTTACTTTATGATGACTATATCTCGTGTAATGGGTGTTTCTCATGAAAAGTTTTCCTTCGAACTATTCTCATCTTTCAAAATTTCTGTGCTGAAATTCAAACTTTAATCTTGTTTTCATAAACATAACGCAGTGATAATGCTTCGGAATTTGTCTCAGCAATTTTAATAGAGTTTATGTCTCTCAGGGGTATTCTCCATCAATCTTCTTGTGCTTATAACCCCAACAGAATTTGGGGGGAATTGCGAAAGAAAGAATCTTCATTTCTTATTGAAACAGCGAGCACATTACTTCTTATATCCAGTCCCACTTCATTTAGGGGGATGCAGTACTTACTGCTTGTTTTTTTGATTCACAGGATGCCTTCTTTCTGTTTTACAGAATCAAAGCCTCAATTCTGATTTGTTCCCAACAGGACCCCTTTCATCGGCCCTTGTGTTTTTGTGGAGTACGAATCAAAGTCCTCATTCTGTTTTGTTTCCCAAACAGGACCCCTTTCATCTGCCACTTCGTGTTTTTGGGAGTACTTGTTTTGTTCATGATCATACCTTGGCAGGGACAAGCTTCTACCAAAGTCCATTAAGTGCATTTTCTTAGGATATCCTCGTCTTCAAAAAGGGTACAAGTGTTATGACCCAATCTCTTCCAAGTTCTTTATCTCCGCTGATGTTACTTTTTTTGAAACTACCCCTTATTTTTCTAAATAGCCAGAGCTTGAACAATCTGTTTCCAATGTTCCCCCCTTTCCTATTCTTCCTCCTCCAGCTACATCTCGTCCTCTTCAGGTCTATTCTCGTCGTCCTACTACTAACCCTGTTTTGAATGCAGATATACAGCCTAGTGACTCATCTCCTATTCCGATCTCATCCCCTGCACCGGTCGTGCCAAACACAGAGGCAGAAAATGCTCCCATTGTCCTTCGCAAAAGTATTCGCTCCACTCGTAATTCTCATCCTATTTACAATTTTTTGAGCTATCATCGTTTATCTCCTTCATATTATGCCTTTGTCTCCACATTGTCTACCGTTTCTATCCCTAAGAGTGTCAGTGAAGCGCTTAACCATCCTGGTTGGTCTGCTGCTATGACAGAGGAGATGACTGCTTTGCATAATAATGGTACATGGGAACTTGTTTCTTTGCCTCCTGGGAAGAGCACTGTTGGCTGTCGCTGGGTTTACACGGTTAAAATTGGACCAGATGGTAAAATTGATAGGTTGAAAGCTAGGCTTGTAGCAAAGGGGTACACACAAGTTTATGGCCTTGATTATAGTGATACTTTTTCCCCTGTGGCCAAAATAGCCTCTGTTCGTCTTCTTCTTTCTTTGGCAGCTATCTATCAATGGCCTCTTCATCAACTTGATATCAAAAATGCTTTCTTGCATGGGGAATTGATCGAGGAAGTATATATGGAGCAACCTCCTGGTTTTGTTGCTCAGGGGGAGTCTGGTTTGGTATGTCGACTACATCGATCTCTCTATGGCTTGAAACACTCTCCACGTGCATGGTTTGGAATTAATGCTGTTGTCCAAAAATTTGGCATGCGTCGAAGTGACGTTGATCATTCAGTCTTCTATCGGCATGGAAATCATGGGAAATGTACTTATCTAGTTGTTTATGTTGATGATATTGTCATAACTGGCAATGATCATGAAGGGATTAACTTAAAGCAGGATTATTCAGCAACTTTCAAACTAAAGATTTGAGAAAGCTAAAATATTTTCTTGGGATTGAGGTAGCACAGTAAGATTGGAGTTGCAATCTCACAAAGAAAGTATGCTCTTGATATACTAGAAGAAACAGGTATGATGGATTGTAAACCTGTGGATACTCCTATAGATCCCAATGTAAAACTTATTCCAGGACAGGGGGAGCCATTTAAAGATCCTGGCAGATATCGGAGGCTTGTTGGAAAATTAAACTATCTTACTATTACACGACCGGATATTTCTTTTGCCATGAGTGTGGTTAGTCAATTTCTTCAGTCTCCATGTGATAGTCATTGGGATGCTGTTGTTCGCATTCTGAAATATATCAAAGGAACTCCTGGGCAAGGTCTGTTATATGAGAACAAGGGTCATTCACAAGTGGTTGGCTATTCAGATGCAGATTGGGCAGGTTCTCCCTTTGGGCAGGTTCTTCCCTCTGACAGATGTCCACTTCTGGTATCTGTATCATGATTGGAGGAAATTTGATATCATGGAAAAGTAAAAAACCAGGATGTTGTGGCTAGGTCAAGGCGCAGAAGAGCAGTTATCGAACCACGCCGATGGCATTAGCCACTTGTTCGAAAACTCGTTTGGCTCAAGCAAACTTCTTTCAAGGTTGAAGGTTGTTCTCCCTCTGACAGATGGTCCACTTCTGGTTATTGTATCATGATTGGAGGAAATTTGATATCATGGAAAAGTAAAAAACAGGATGTTGTGGCTAGGTCAAGCGCAGAAGCAGAGTATCGAGCCATGGCATTAGCCACTTGTGAACTCGTTTGGCTCAAGCAACTTCTTCAAGAGTTGAAGTGTGGAGAAATAAAACCAATGACACTGATATGTGACAATCAAGCAGCACTCCATATTGCCTCAAATCCAATGTTTCATGAAAGAACGAAACATATTGAGATCGATTGTCATTTCATCAGACAAAAGATTGAGTCAGGATGCATATCTAGTTCCTTTGTCAGTTCGAACGATCAATTGGCAGATATACTGACCAAATCTTTACGAGGACCTCGAATTAAATACATTTGTAGCAAGCTAGGAACATACAACATGTATGCTCAAGCTTGAGGGGGAGTGTTATGATTAGCTGCTGTATTTAGCTGTATTATAGCCGTAATTAGTTGTAATTAGCTGCTGAGATTAGGAGCTATAATTAGCAGATTACTAGCAGATTATAGCAGATTATTTGGGATCTTAGCAGATTATTTGGGATCCCAGATTAGTTACCTATATTGTACATATATAGTACTATTTATATCCCCAATTCTTGAGGGAATAATCAAGTTAATATTTCCTCTCATTCTGCTTCTTCACAAGTCTGATTGATATTGATCTGCTTGGCATGCTTCAATTTTCTGTTTCAATGCAATTATTTTTACCATTTTCTCTATGCACTCCAGAGGTTATGTTTGAGTAATTTACTCTTCACCTTTTTCACCATTAGAAGTGTTAAATAGATCCCTAATCCTAGCAAATATCACATGAGACTGTGCGACGGTAAGGGGTATTGGAGAGAGCAAAAGTGAGAGCAAATGAAAGCTACCACTGATAGAGGGAGTAAAATCTGCCATATTGTTGATTTTTGAAGCATGACCATAGAAATATTTGCAAGAAATATCTTCCTTTTCTTTTCTTTTTTTTCTTTTTCTAAAAGTTAATAACGAGATGAAAAAATGATCTAAGATTTGTGGGTTATAGTGTAGCAAATATTTCACTCTGTCTCGTACTCTTCGCCATGTTAACAAAATCGCCCACCAGTCTCCCCACCGTTAGTGTGAGGAGAACTATCTGGTTTAGCCTGATTAGGGAAACTTATCTTTAATAATATATCTCTGTTACTCAATCCCGAAGTCCCATAGCGTGGTTCAGAATTTCTCCATGCTAGTTTGGTGGTTGTTAACCCTACCTATTGGGTTCCAGTTGCACTTATTGCCTATGGTTTATGTATAAATAATACAAAAATAAAGTTGCACTGTGTCATGGATTCTGATCACTATTTGAATTTTGATATTGAGCAGGCCATTTGATGGCAAAGAGCGACGATGTATATAGTCTTGGAGTTGTACTTTTAGAAATTTTATTTGGTCGACGAGCTATAGACGTGAGCCAGCCATCTAAGCAACGTGACCTGGTGAAGTGGGCAAAGCGTTATTACTGGACAAACAAACTCAGTGTTTTCTACATTTTGGATCCATGTTTTGATAGATGGCGCTTATTTCGAAGAGCCGAGAAGCTGGCTAACCTTGCACTGCATTGCTTAAATGATGAACCAAAGTTTAGACCAGAGATGGATGATGTGGTAATGGTGTTGGAGGGGCTTCAATAATCAAATTAAAAGAAGAATAGTAAACAGGTTTTAGAAGCATGTGTTTGTAGGAACAATGTACAGCTTTTGGTTTACACTTTGCATGTAGTATTTTTGCCTCTATTATCATGGGTGTAGGCAAGAATTGTTTTTAGTTGAGGCAGTAACATTTTTGTCTACTGTTCTCGTTGTATATGTACCCCTACAATTAGAGGTTATCATTATATATAGTTAATACTCCCTCCATTCCATTAAATTGATTAATAAGTATTCTATCTAATGCTTTTTAATTGCAACAAAATTTAATATAGATAATAAAATAATGGCCGCTGCTTTGATTTTCTAAAAAGTGTAATCTAAAAAAAAAAAATCAAAAATCATCAAATCCAACGGAACGATTGACAACCAACAAATTTAAATATGAAGTTTATATAAAAATAATACTTCCTATGTATTATGAAGTTTATATAAAAGTAATACTCTTTCCCTTTTAAAAAAATAATTCACTTTTTATTTTTATATAAATTAAAAAAATAGCAATTGTTATGGTTAAAAAGCAATTTTTTCATATAATTTTTCTATTATATCATTTTAAATAATCCATGAGTAATTATTATATTGAAATAATAAGTAAGAATTAATGAGAGTTATTGAAATAAGGATATAATAGACAATTTAAGGATTAACTATAATGCAAAAAGAAAAAGTGGACTATATTTTGAGATAGACTAAAAAGAAAAAATGGACTATCTTTTGGGAGGGAGGGAGTAATCTTTTTTTATCTATAGGTACAAGGAGGGAGAGGGGGAGGTGGTAGTATTCAAATCCAACACAATCATAAAAGTGTATGGAAGCATATGTTGCAGGCTAAAACCTGATTCCCATACAAAAATTATAATTGCCAAATAATTATCCCATAACAGAAATAAATCGAATACTTTCCTGTAAAAAAAAAATCTTTAATTCATGTAATACCATACAAAGTTTTTGTATAGACAATTAAAAGTAAGAAATAACTTTTGAAAATTACAAGGGTAATAAAGTAGGTACTCCCTTCATTCTTTTTATATAGGAAAAGTTTTCATTTTGGGGTGTTCTCTTTATATAGAAAATTTTGACTAATTTGATAACTTTGAAACTATGCCGATGTGAAAATCTATTTTATCCTTGTTTTAGTCATTTGTGAAGCTTTTAAGGTAGGAGATTCTCAATATAGTAAGAGACAAAGCTATATATGAGCGTTTAATTTGAATAAATTTTGCATAATGGATTTTTTTACACAATTTCCATTGAAAAAAAATGTGCTTGTATAGGTTATATGAGCTCCGATTAAAATGAAGTTTGAATAGAAAATGGCCATAAAATTTTCAAGTCGACCGCATTGAAAGGAATTTTTACAAACTTCATCGAATATTTAAAAAATTACGCAATATTTAAAGTACGTTTTTAATAAACAAAAGCATTTGGAATATTAAATGAGTATAAATTTTCATATTTCCACGCAACTTTTCCAAATAAAGGACAAAAAACGAATTTCTTTCCACAAGTCAGAGCATAAACTTCACTTTTGCAATTGTTTGTATTCCTTTCATTCCAACAAAGTATTTAAAGCATCGTTGAAAATTGAAACATAATTTAAGATATACATTGACATTAGAGGAGGAATAAATGAGATATTATGGGTAAATTAGAAAAAAAAATGACAAAAAAAAATTTGGTTAAACTAGTTTCTTAAGGCAAAGGCAACAAGCAAAGGTTTACTGGCTGAATTATAGGGACACGAACTCTAAATTTTTCATGGCCATATCTAAGGACGACGTAAGGCTAATAGGATTGAGGGGTTACGTGATAGGGAGGGTATTTGGAAAACTGACGCAGTGGACATGCATGCAATTATCTTGGACTACTATCAAGATTTGTACACAGCGGATGAAGGGGATACAGGCCGGATTATGAGATTAGTGCGTAGAAGGGTTTCTCATGCAGATAATGAATCATTGATTGCTCCTTTTCGGGAGGATGAGTTTAAAGATGTTGTATTTCAAATGCACCCTGATAAATTGCCAGGGCTTGATAGTTTAAATCCGGCTTTCTTCCAGAAGTTTAGGAGTGTGGTGGGCAAAGATATTGCTGATAGTTGTTGACAATGGCTAGAGGTATTTTTTCGGACTCTCTCTTTGATACTTTGGTTGTGTTAATCCCTAAAAATAATAGTCCTGAGTCTTTGAAAAATTATAGGCGTATTGCTCTATGTAATGTCCTGTATAAAAAATTATTTTCAAAGTTCTAGTTAATAGACTTAAGCTTGTTTTACCCCATATTATCTCGGATAGTCAATCGCCTTCGTTCCGGGGAAACTAATCCAGGATAATGTTCTTGTGCCCTTTGAAATACTCCATAATTTAAAAAGAAAAAAGAGAGGAGAGTTGGGTATGACTACTCTTAAACTAGATATTACCAAGGCTTATGACAGGGTGAATTGAAATTTTTGCGGGATATGATGAGTCATTGGGTTTTAATAATAAATGGATTGACTAGATGATGACTTATGTTTCGAAAGTTCGCTATTCTGTTTTGTGTAATGGGGAGTCTGTAGGGCCTATTATCCCTGGCCGGGGCCTTCGACAAAGGGATCCAATTTCTCCCTATTTATTTATTATTTGCTCAGAGGGTTTGTCTTTGTTATTTAATAAGGCTGAGAGGAAGGGATGATCCATAGAGGGAGAGCAGGTGTTAGATGCCCGTGGGTCTCACATTTTATTATTCGCGGATGATGCTTTCCTATTTTTTATATGAAAGGGTGTTTAGGCAAGCCGTCAACTATCAAAAGTCTGGGATGATGTTTAGTCCTAATGTCTCTGCTCTTGTTAAGGCTTCAATGTCTAATTTGTTGGGGGGTGTCTAATGCATTAGGTGGGGGAAATTATTTGGGCCTTCCATCTCTAATGGGGAGAAATAAGAAAAGTATTTTTAGTTTTTTGAAGGATAGGCTGTGGAGCCTATTCATAATTGGAATAACAAATTTTTATCTCGGGCAGGGAGAGAGATCCTTCTAAAATCTGTGGCCCAATCATTTTCGTCTTATTGTACGAGTGTGTTTCTGATGCCTAAAACTATCTGTGATGAGCTACAAAAAATTATGAATTCTTTTTGGTGGAATTCCCATAAGGGGGTTAGCATAGGAGTCCATTGGTTTTCTTGGGACCAGATGTGCCAAAGTAAGAGGGATGGAGGTATGAGATTTCAAGATCTTCATTGTTTTAATATTGCAATGCTAAGTAAATAGGGGTGGAGGTTAATTTCCAAACCCAATACTCTTCTGATTCGCACGCTCAGAGCTAAATATTTTCCAAACCCAATACTCTTCTGATTCGCACGCTCAGAGCTAAATATTTTCCAAACCCAATACTCTTCTGATTCGCACGCTCAGAGCTAAATATTTTCCAAACCCAATACTCTTCTGATTCGCACGCTCAGAGCTAAATATTTTCCAAACCCAATACTCTTCTGATTCGCAACCCAATACTCTTCTGATTCGCACGCTCAGAGCTAAATATTTTCCTTTTCCAAACCCAATACTCTTCTGATTCGCACGCTCAGAGCTAAATATTTTCCAAACCCAATACTCTTCTGATTCGCACGCTCAGAGCTAAATATTTTCCTCATGGCAGCTTTCTTTCTACTTCTTTACGAAGTAATCTGAGTTTTACTTGGAAGAGTTTATTATTTTCTAGAGACATGTTAAAACAATGGATTCAATGGGGAGTTGGGAGTGGTGAGCACATTTTGGCGAGGACCGATCCTTGGTTACCTAAGAATGATTTCTTTTATGTGGAGGATGGTTTACATTTTATTGAACGTACCATGCAGGTGAGAGATTTGATTAGAGGGGATAGGAGGTGTTAGGACTTTTACGAAATAGTAGAGCTTTTTAGTGCATCATTCTTAGTATTCTTCTAGGTCTAGGGGAGTTGGAGGATAAATTGACGTGACATTACGATAAAAAGGGTGTGTATAGTGTGCGGTCTGATTACTATCTAGCTCTTCAATGGTCTGGAAGGTGGGAAAAGATTACATAGGGATCACTAGAAGAAAATCTGGGGCTTGAGTGTGCCGCCAAAAATGAGAGAATACATGTGCAGAGTGTTTAGAGGGATATTGCCTACTAAGGATAAACTCTATACGAGAGGTATGAGGGTGGAGCGGGAGTGTCGCTTTTGCAATCAAATCGAGAATATTGATCATGTTTTAATGAATTGTTGTAGGGCGAGGGAGGTTTGGAGGAGTTGTGGAGTTGGAAGAGCGCAAAATGATTTCTCTTTTACTAACATTTTTTTGCAGGTTCTGGTGTCAAACGATGCGGATACTATTCAAAAGTTGGTCTTTGTTGCTTGGGCTCTTTAGAGTGCGAGAACAAGTTTATCCGACCTGCCCAGCTTACAACAACTATTCACACCATGCTTCAAGAGTGGCGAACAACAACTCCATTGGTCGCGCCAGTAGTTCATGGGCTTGCTAACGTCTCTGGGTCATGTAGCGTTCCAGCATGGGGTGTGATGAGGGTCGATGGATGGCAGACCTTTATTGATGGAGCTATTTTTCGAAATTTGCATTTGGTTGGTTTCAGTGCAGTCATGGAGAGTGCAAAGGGTCTGTTTTTGCAGGGACTATCGAGTTTGTTGGACAACTATAACAAGCCCCTCTTGGTTGAAGTGCTTGCTTTGAGAGCTAGCCTTGCTTGGATTATTGATTCTACCACTACAACTGGTTGCATCTATACAAATTGTCAAGGTCTTATTCATGCTTTAATTTCTCCTTTAAATGATTTTTCTGAGTTTAGTATCATTATTAGAGATTATAAACAACTTTTAATTTCTAGGCCTAATATTGCAATTAGGTGGATCAGGAGACAAGCGAACATAGGCGCGCACACGTTGGTTAGAGCGTTTTTCAATCATGTTCGTCTCACAGTTTGGGATTCTATACCCCATTATTTGTTATCTTTTTATGACTGATATAAGCAGTTTCCGTGTTGAATTCCAAAAAAAAAAAAAATTTAACATGGGTGAAAAATTATTTATTTCTATATAAAATTAACGGAGGAAGTAAAAAAAAAAAAAAACACTATCTAGTTTTACTCGTTTATTAAAAGGATTTGTAATTTCTTTTTTCTTCTACACTACCCTTAATAATTTGGGCCACATTTGTAACATGTTAAATATGTTTGTTAAGTGACATTTCATTCACAAATATGACCTGATTCTGTTAATAATTAATAATTATTACTCCGTCCCTTCTTAAATATTTATTATATTTGAAATTTTATGTCTTTTTAAAAATCATTAAATTTGTTTAAATTACAATAAATTATCGAGTAAATTAACTACATTATTTTTAATTTAATATATTCAAATACTAAATTTTTGAAGAATTGAAATAATAATTGTTGATTATATACAAAGGGTAAACACGAAAAAGAAATCATTACATCTTGAAACTATAAATGTAACAAGTATTAGGATATAGTATTTTCTTACATGTGACTATTTCTCAGATGTTATAAGTATTTAGAAACCGAGTAAAATTTGATAATTAAAATATTTTTTTTAATAAATTTTATTAATGTCAATCTTTTTAATTAACAAATATGACTTTTAAACGAAAATTATAATTTATTTTATATAATATTTTAATATATATATATATTATGATTAGATCCATTCCAAAAAAGAAAAAAAAAAATCCTTGATTCTTTATCTTCACCGGATTGGATCTGAAAACCTTGGTCCAAAGCTTGCTTAATATTCGGATAATCTCATAAGATCCAAGTTACGGATCAGAAGAAATTAAGAGGAGAAAGATGTAGAGACTTGGAGAAGAAGAAGAAGATAAGGTTGACTAGGCAATAGTTATCTCCACTCCACAAGGGCTGGGTGAAGAGGGAATTTTTTCAAAAAAGGATGAGATTCGAAGAGTGAGATGGTCCTTTGTTTTTGAAGGATCCATCTTTTCAGCCATTTAAAGTGTCACTTTTTCATTTGTCTCCTTGACAATGGTGCGACTGCTTTTTGCTAAAGATGACATCTATCGTCTTCATCAAGCATCTTGAACTCTTTTCTCTCTTGTCCTCTCCCATGTATTAGAATTTTGAAAGAAAATATCCATGTATGTACAAAATACAAAAAATTTCAAAAATAATGATTTTTTTAGAATTAAATAAATCATAATTATTTTAGCGATTAGAAATTAATAGAATTAAAGAGAAATAAGCTCTAAAATTACTATTAGATGTAGAGTGTCATCTTTTGAAATACGATACAGATATGCATAGTAGTTTCCTAATACAACCAAGAAGGTATAAATGCTTAGTAAGAGTCTTAGTTATAAATATCTATTATACAGTTTAAATAACTTTAAATGGTTCTTTGATTGAATATTGCAAGTTTGAACAATGTTCGGTCCACTTATTAGTTTTTAGTAAAAATAAATTAATTTTAAAAATTATTAGATCAGACTTATTAGAAGCTCGTGAACTCTCGAACTGCACCAAGTGACCTAATAAAAAGCACCCGAGAATAAGAAGGGGAGGCCCAATGCAAGAGGCAAATAAAATTAATGAAGTCAAAACAAACAAAAAGAATTACATCTCTCAAAATTGATAAATAAATTATGTGCCCCCCAAAAAATTGGATCATGTGTGGAAAAAGATGAATAATTAAAGGATAATAATAATAGGAGAGTAGGCAGTTGTGCCACGTTTCCTGAAAGCGACTGTATGAAATAGGTAGCACTCACCACTTATAACAAGATTTTTCTTTTTTTTTTTTTTTTTTTTTTTTTTTTTTTTTTTCTCTTCAATATGGAATTACTATGTGGGTTATATGTGATGATCAATTCTATTAATTTATGGGAATCTTTACTAGGTTTGTTTTTTTTTTTTTTTTTTTTTTCTCTTTTCAATATGGAACTTACTATGTGGTATATGTGATGATCAATTCTATAATTATGGGAATCTTTACTAAGGTTGTTTCTTTATAAAATGCAGATAATAACAATTGGAGTGTCAAATCCTACAAGATCCTTTTCCACTTCAATTATCATCCATTTCTCTCATCTTTTTTCCTAATTTTTTTTGTTCGAATTTTTGTTTTTAATAGTTAATTGCTAATTTGACAGTCAAATGCTTATTTTATATGATTAAAAAGCTAATAATTAATTCTCGTGGAGAAGTTCTTGCTTTAATAGCTGACAGTATATCGAAAAGACTAATCTTTCGTCCTTTGAGCGAAAGACACTCCTAAAAAAAAAAGAGAAAAACTAATAATATAGATTATAGTAATATTTTCTTTTTAAAAAATATTTGAAATATATAAAAAAGATTTAAATGTATTATACATTTAAAAAGAATCGTTTTCTTTAAACATACTACTACCTCATCTCATTTTAAGTGGTTTAAGGTAATTATATAAGAATTAAAAAAATTATTACGGGTCCATTTAGTTTAGCTATTTGTGATAGTTGATAGATAGAGAAGGTTACTGCTAATCCATAGTTGTTAAGTGAAAAATATTGATCTTCTAGTAAAATTTTAGTAATAACTTTTGTTAAAATGGGCGTTAATGCTACAAATTATTTTTACGGTACTTAAATATTTAGTCCTTAGGTTGCTCAAATTACTATTATATTCCCGATATTTGGTTGAAATCATTAATTTATCCTTGAAATTTAGCTATGTTTAAATATTTACTACCTATGTCTAAAAGTATCATTTTTTTTAATCTTTACGTGTGGGATAAAATAGTAATTCAATAAAATGTAAGAAGCTAAATAATAACACTATTTAAATGTAAAGATCAAATAATAAATATCATACAATATTTAATTGAAAGGAAGTACTTTTTGAATAAAAAGATTAAATAGTTTAACTGTTCTAGATTTCAGAGATGAATCAATTAATTTTACAAAATGTAGAGATGTAATAGGAACTTTGACAAAAATTTTGGAATCAAATAGTTAATTACACTTATTTTTATAATTATTACGTGATAGACTAACAAATAAATCAAAGGTATTAAATATATTTAATACAAACAATTATATCGAGTATTACAATAATTATATCGAGCATTACAACAATTATACCAAGCGTTATAAATCAATAAAGAATTTATAACGTATTTTGGTAAAAAAAGCATTTATAAGATATTCATTCAGTATATAATAGTTTTGTCTTCCATTCATAATGGGACGACTACTTTATCTATTATATAAATATATACTATAAAAAAAATATATTAATACATTATACTTATATTCTCATTTATTTTTTACTTCTATCATTATGTATGATATTTTAAAAAAAATTTTAAGCTTGACATTGCTCAAGAGTTAATACTCACTTTTCACTTCAAAGTCAACTTCGAGCTTAATCTGTACTAACATTCTCAGGTAAAGCCTAAAAGATAAAGTCCACTTAGGTCTCACAGTCTAACTAATGGGTCAACATGTCATCCTTCAAATTAAATTCTTAAGGAAAATTATGTTCATTTTATGGTGAATTTGTATCAATTCCACCTCGTACTTGAATGATGTAAATTTTACAGTTAAGTTAGTTAAGAAATAACAAAAATAAAGGTTTAAATATTAACTTTAAATGACAGTTATATAATTAAAAAAATAAAAAGAAAACTAAACGAGTAAAATAAATGAAAAAAAATACTATAAAGATGTTAATTGGAATGTAAGCAAATCGCACTTGCTAAGTGTGCCAAAAATCTTTATGTTCTATTATTAATACTTTCCGCGCGGGAAACAAAACAACTATTTGCTATACTTTTTTATTAACTTAGCTAATTTGCGAAATTATTATATTTTATTTTTATAGATGACAAGGTAGGGGATTTTAAAATTTGAAGAGAGCGACAGGGCATGAAAGTTTGGGATTCCAAGTCTAATGCATGTGGCCCATAAAAAAAGGAGAGGTGAAGGGCTAAGATCCACAAAACAATACCAAAGATGCAGAATCCTTTATATGCAACTTGAACCATCCACTTTGCATCTTCTACAGTTCCCCACCTTCTTTTTTTTTTTTTGTCTATTTTTCTTCATCAAGTTTTGATTGTTTGGCCCTTAGATTCACAAGCAAGACTATTTATTCAGTATATATAATTTGCATTTCACAATTTTTTTACTTAGTACATTTTTACATTAGAAAATGAAAATAATTAAAAAAACCTAAAAAATATTAGCTATAATTTTTTTTAGTAACTGACTAGCTAGTATATTAAATAAAATTTCAAAAAAGAAATAATAATTTACCTAAAAATTATTTTTATTGTACTAATGTCACTTCTTAATACTGAGCAAAGTTTGAGCATGTGGTCACAATTCTTTGAAAAGACAAAAGCTGACTTTAAAAACATTTAATCTTTGTGAAAATTCAAAATAAACTGCCATCTCCTAAGTCTAACGAAATATTCTTTTTTTTTTAATAAAAAAAAAAAAAAAAAAAAAAATTTTTTAATAAAAAAAAAAAAAAAAAAAAAAAACAAAGTCTAATGAGTTCCTATCTAGGAATTCGATTCTACTTCTTTTGCCTTAAATCAAATATGTAAAGTTTGAATCTTTAGTACACACCTTTACCAAGTGAATTCCCTTAATAAATTTATCCGTTTCTTTGATATTGGATATGAATCCTAATTAAATAGGCTTCAAATAATTTGAGCAAAACTATGTAAAAAGTAAATAGAAATCGACTCATTTAAGTTGTATTCGAACTTAAGCTCAATTTATTTATAACATATAAAAAGAAAATGGTGATTCAAACCCTGTGTATAAAGTACTCCCTTGAGTGGGTTGGATAGAATTGACGAATACAATATTCTTTATATTTCTATAGAAAAATTATTTTTGTGATTCAAATCTATGATCCATAGATCATTTATAATTTATAATAAAAAAATTACCTTTACATGCGCAAAAATCGAGCTAAAATTGACTCGTTTATTATGCTTAAACTTGACTTTGAAAACTTATTGAAAGAATTTGAACAATTTATAAAAATATAAAGAAAATGATTTAGAAGTTGTTGATTCTTTTTTAGTGCAAAACCGCACTAATCCAAAATGCTAAACAAACCACCTTAGCCAAAGAAATATTCTAGGTTGATATTGGTATTTATTATATATATTGTCTCAATCTTTTTTGGTTATTTTTTAAATTCCCATAGCAACCGTACCCACCATTTTTATATAACAAAGGCATTAAGCATCGCCCAAATTGTACAATGGCCTAAAGTTTTTA